GGCAGCTGGGGCTGCCAGGACGCAGACGGGCCCTCTGCTGACCACCGGGGAGGGGGCCCAAGGCTGTCGGTGGAGCTCTGCCTGGTCCCTTCCTCACGTCACCAAGTGGGCTGTTTCCTAGAGTGGGTCAAGGTGTCAGCCCTCCCTGGCTGCACCCACCCACAGAAACCTCTTCTCTCATTTCTCCCTCTTTGGGGGGATCTTGTGGACCTGCCTGGGGCCCGATGACTGTAAGACAGGAGGTGCGGGGAAGGGGAGGGGCATCTGTCTGTGGGCATTTAAATTCCGTAGCAGACAGACGTGGTGCAGACACACACCCGCCCACTGAGGCTTCCGCTCTGATCTCAGCCTGGAGAGGAGAAGGCGGCACGGGGTGTGCTGGCAGATGTCTAGGGCCCCCTGAAATCCAGGTCTCCGGGTTGGGGGGGAGCGGGACTGGGTCAGGAATATGCAGAGGCGGCCCTTTTCTTCTCGCAGCCTGCCTCCCACCCCGGCCTCTGGCCCCGTGTTCCCTGACGTTCCGCTCCACGGGCCCAGCCAGTTTGAAAGGTCCCTCCTGGAACCGTATCTCAGAGGGGGAGCGCAGGTCACTGATGAAGGGTATGCACAGCATAGCTCACAGCTGCACCCAGAAATGAGGAGCTGGATCGTGGGGGCAGCTTGTTACTCCTCCCCCACCCCCGACAAGGCTCCCTGGTTCCCAGGTGCTGGGCTGCTGTGAATGAGCATTCGAGGGCACCCACATGGCACAGTGAAGGCAGAGCGGGCGAAACTCGCTTCTGCGGGGGGTCCAGGCTCCACAGTCCCCTTAACACAGGTCAGGAGTCCCACTGGGCAGGCAGCAGCTGGCGTCTAGATGGGCAGAGGCACTGCCTTTGGTATGAGGTGCTGGCTCAGCCCGGCTGGTCAGTTCCCTGCCAGGCCACATTGGTGATAGCACAGGTCTTGTGCCCTGTGCCCTGTAAGGCTAGGCCAGCACAGCCCTTTGTGACAGGGGCCAGGGCTGGCCTGGTGGTCTGGGGTCACTCCGTGAGCTGCAGCCGGGCTGGGCAGAGCATCTCTGACACCCCACCGAGTTCAAATGTTGCCCAAGCTCGTCAACCGCTCCTCAAACGTCTGTGGTCTCTGGCCTCTGAGTCCCTGTTCCTGTGGCTCTCCCTGTGGAGACTGTCCTCCCTCCTTCCACAGCCAACCCCAAAGCCCCCTCTCTCCTGAACCTACCTCCCACCTCCCCATCAGAGCGACTTCATCCCTCCTCCGTGCCTGAGTCCTTTTGTCCTTACAACCTGCCGGGTGGGGTGAGGGCTCCACATTCCTGGAGGGAGACCACCTTCTCCTTTCTGAATCCCACCCTGGCCCCTGGCTGCCCTGCCTTGCCCATCCCCCTGGGCTGTCGCCGGGTGTGGGATTACATGGGGTTGAGTGTAGACAGCCCAAGGGCTGGAGCTGCTGGCTTCATGTGCTTGAGGTGGGCGTGGGGGCATGGCTCTGCTGGGACGTGGCCCCTGCTCCCGCCCCCAGCAGAGCGCGTTCGCCTCACTCCTGGCTGAGCACACCGCATGCCTTTTGGGTGGGTGACGGGGCCTTTTAACCAGTTCCAGCCTGGCCTTTGGGAAATGTGCTGACACCAGGCAAAGCATAAACACTGACATTTGGTGACGGCCTTGCCCCCAGGGTTCTCAGGCAGACAGAAGCCGGCCCGGAGGGGTGAGGGACTCAGTCAGGAGGGGCAATTAACTGAGTAATAGAGGGAGGGCTAGGCTTGGTCCAAGACGGGGCTTTTATGTGGAATTCCAGGCGGCGATGAGGTTTTGAATTGTGCGCATGGGAACCCGAGACCCCCTTTGACATAAACAACGAAACCAGCCCCTACATCACGCACACCGGGGGCCTGCTGGCCCCAGCCAGACTTCCTGCTCCCTCCTGGGCACAGGGCCTGTTGTCCCATGTCAGAAGCTTGACCCCGCCTCCTGCCCCTCCCCAGACTGGACGGTGATGGTGATGAGGGATCAAGGGGAAGTCTCGCTGCATCCGTCACCAGTGCTATCCCTGTCAGCAGAGACTTCCTGCTCCATCCCAGTTCCATCTCACCTGTGGGAACAGGTGTGTGACTCCCAGGAGACGTGGAAACAGGCAGGGCCAGCCAGCCTTGCTCCGCCCCCGTCACAGCTGCGGCCAGAGCTCAGGGAGAGCAGGAGTCTTCCCTGATGCTCTGGCCTTGGAGGCCGTGTCCGGGGCAGTTGCTGGGAGAATGGATCAGCATAACAACCAATCATGGCGAATAGCTGTCAGCATTGATGGAGTTCTTTCTGTTCTCTCTGGGCCTTGTTTTTTGTGGTCTCCCATTTAATCCCCACAGGAACTCAGTGACTTGGGAAGGCGGTTTATTATGCACATTTCACGGGCGAGGAAACAGGCTGGGGAGAGTGACTTGGGTCACACAGTAAGAAATGGCTGAGGTTGTCTGACACCGAGGTCTGTGGTGCGTAACTTCTGGTGGGAGCCCTGAACGGGGACTTCTGTCTCTCAGGGGACCCCGGCTCCAGACTTTGAAGGGCTGATACCAAGTCTTGGGGCTGGCCGCCTTGAGGTCACTCAGGCCAGCCCGCAGCTGTGGCCTTGCCTGGAGGGGCCAGGACAGAGCACTTGACTGTGCATTAGGCCCTCCCGCCGGCGGAGTCTCACTCCTCACAGCATCCTTGGGAAGGAGGCAGGATGGCTCCTATTTCTCCGATGGGGAAACGGAGGCTCCTGATGGGAAGAGTCGGGACCAGAACTTTGGCCTTGACACCTGCTGCCTCCTCACCTTCTCCTGGGTCAGGGTGAGGCTGCCGTGTGGGCGTGGAGGTGACTCAGGCATGGCACGTGGGCGGGCGGGCACTGCAGCTGTGGCTCC